ATATAAGCACAATGAATAACTATAAAAACTTATATTTCCCAGATACAGAGGTTCGACGAGAATATGCAACAATAAGACTTTAACTGATAATCTTAACTGCTTGAACTACAAGAGGAATCACACATATACTTAAGCACTCATTAATCTCTCACACATTTACAGACTCAGAAAAAGGGAAGCTGGATGGTTGGATACACCTCCAAATATATCCACTGAGAAAGAGGAAGAGAAGGATGTAAAAAAGATTCTCCTCTAAACAACTCAGCTTCTTCTTCTTATAGCCAGAGGAGTTAGGCGGTTTTAAAATCCTTTTGAAATCCACACCGACAATCTTTTCCAAGATGCTTATCTGCTTTAGTCAGCTTTTTATAGTGGCTACATAAAAAGTAGATTCTGTCGGTGATAGCTACAGTAGAAAGTTGGTTCTATCGGTGAAGGGACACGTGTCCTAGATATGGGTGGAGTCGTCCAGGTCCCTCTGTGAATTTTCTTTATTTTAAAAAAAATTCAATGCCTGCACAGTCATCACCGTTCATTGGACTGTAGACTTCTTATTCATCACTCTAAGTAGAAGTGGACATTTCTTCATTGCCTTCTATAGGCACTCCAGAGCTTCCTTTTAAGCTCTTCTTTAGATAGTTTAGGGTTTTGTTTCGGTAATATTGCAACATATTCCGCTATTTTATTTTTTTCTTTTTGAGATAAAACTGGAGGCCTAAGTTTCATTTTTATTTTGTCTGGACTGAGAGATTCATTTTTATAACTGTCCCATCATTTGATGTATATTTGTCTCCTTAATTCGAGAATATAATCCCACCTATCCATAGATCTTCTGAGATTTAATAATCCCATTTTAAAATCCACGGGACCTAATATAAGGTCATAAAGTATATATGATAGTCTCTTCTAAGACTTTGACTATTGTAATCAAAGAATTTTCTCTGTAAAATTTGTAGATTTGTAGGTAGAATTTGGCTTGATGATCCCCATATAGATAACCAATTTTTAAACCAATTGGGAAACTCATTTGGCTCAGTTAATTTAAACTGAATACACCAGCTATGTGAATTTTTCGTATTTTGGTATGCAAAAACTTCATCCCAAGCTTTTATATATTCGAAGTAGTGATAGGATTTGATTTTAAATCCTTTCGTATTGGTGATCCTTGGTTTTAAAGGATCTAGTCCCCATTCTTGGTAAAAAATAACCTTTTTGATTTGGAATTTGGAGTATGTTATTTCTGTATCATTATTTCGGTAATAGTGTATTATAAATAGTTATTTCTGTATCATTATTTCGGTAATCGTGTATTATAAATACCGAACCTGTTTCCATAAAGATATTTTCATATCATTCCCTGCATCTTTCATTCATATTGGGATGCATATGTAGCCTTAAATATATGGCAGCTATTTCAGCCGGGTTTTTCGACTGGTGGTCATTTTCTATAATCAGCAAAGGAATACATGTTTCCAAATATGTGGTTTAAGTACTAGGAGTTTGAGTACTTATTGGTGTTTGAAGGGGAGATATATCAATATCTTGTATTTGCCTTCTTATTAAAGCATTTGATGTTGATGGTGATGCCAAGGTTTTCCCCGAGCTAGGGATTATTTCCATCGGTCGCTTTTGATGATTCCTTCTGCCCTCCCTGCAAAAATTCTCGTGTTACAAAATCAGGCAAATAATTAGCATTACCATTAATATGTTCTCTAGTAAATTCAAAGCAGAGACAATACCTTGCCATCTTGCGAAGATTTGTTTTGAAACGAGATTTTTTTACATCTTTTTTAATAATATCCCTGGCTGCTTTACAGTCAGTCGTAAAGGAATGCCTGGTTAAGCAGATCACTCTGGAATTTTGTGACAGCATTGACAATAGCAAGCATCTCCTTTTTCACAGTTGAATAATTTTGTTGGCCGGGTTCCAGGTATTAGAAGTAAACCGGACCAATTGCACTTGATTATTGATTTTTTGTTATAATACAGCACCAAGTTCCTGTTCTGAGGCATCTGTTACTACTATTTTAAACGTTGTAGATTGGATAAGGCTAAACATGGTAATTCTTTAACTTTTATTATAATCTTTTTGACCCCCTTAGTATGTTCATCAGTCCACTCAGGAGGATACTTTTTCAGTCTTTATAATAAAGGCTTTGCATCCAGGGCCAGATCTTTATAGAAATCAGAAATATAATTTAAACATCCAAGGAATCTTTGTAATTCGATTTTTCTTTTTATTACATCTGGAAATTTAGACGCGAATTCTATTGCTCTATCAATGGGAATGATTCTTCCTTAAAAAAAATTGTGTCCTAGAAATCTTATTTTTGTTTGGCATAGATTTATCTTTTTTGCTGAAACCACTAAGCCAGCATTCTTTATTGCTTTTACAAATGTAACTAAATGTTTCCGATGTTGATCAATGGATTTTGAGAAAACAAGCACATCATCAATATAAACAATCGTAAATTTAGTATATGGATTAAAAATTTCATTCATGATATTTTGAAATTCTGATGGTGCATTTTTTAATCCAAAGGGCATGACATTCCATTCAAATTGTCCAAATGGGACATTAAAAGCAGTTTTGTATTTGTCCTTTTCAGCAATCTGGATTTGCCAGTAACCTGATTTGCGATAAAATTTTGAGAAGATACAGGCGTTAGCCAGTCTATCCAAAAGGTCTCTTTTATTTGGAATCGGATATCTGATCCATCTAAGAACTTTGTTGAGTGGTTTGTAATTTATAACCAACCTAGGAGCACCTCTTTCTATTTCTGAGGCCTTTTCTACATAAAAGGCGGAGCAACTCCAGGGTGATGAACTATTTCTGACAAGTGTTTTGTCTAGTAATTCTTTTATATCCTTTTTACAGATCTCAAGTAACCTATTGTTCATTTGAATAGGCCTTGCTTTAGTAGGAATTTTTTTTTCTCGAAGATCCGGTTCATAAGGAAGCCCAACAATATGTTGTTTTCTATCCCAGAAAGCATTAGGGATATCGGCGCATATGTTCTTTTCAATATCTATTTTTAGATATTTAATTTTATTTTGTATCGCGGGAAGTAGTAATTTTTCTTCTATATTTTTATATTTTATTTCTTCTTTTAGATGGTAAAGAAATGTTTCTTTAGAAGAAATCTTATCCCTGATATTATTAATCTCATGGATTCTAGGCTCGTCAATAAAGGTGAATTTGACCTTATGACCTTCAATATTAGCTTCTATCCCTGTGTCATCAATTTTAATTGGATAGAGCATGTTTATAAAAGGGGTTCCTAGAATAACAAGTTGACTTAAACCTTTTACCATTATGAAGGGGAATCCGAAACAAGCACCATCAATGCATACTGCAGCATCTAATAACTTGTAATTACTAAGCATTTTACTACCATCGGCAGTATTTAGCACTTAGGTAGTATTGCTAAAGCATTTTGTTGATACTAACCCTTCATTTACGCAATTCAGGTCAGCTCCTGAGTCTATTAGGGCAGTAGTTTAAAAACTGTATTCCTTTTGTACTACGATTTTGATGTTAGTCAACCATTTTTGGGTTATTATTTTGTCGGGCAAGTTTACAAACTTGCAATTCTGCACTTTTTCTAACATATTCATATTTGCTTTAGAGGTCTCAGATCCTTCCTTTATTTTAGGAAGGGTATCCTCCACTTCGGGTCGTAAAGGAATATCATATTCAGTTACCAGATTATCGAATTCTAATTCTAGGTTTTCATCTTCAATTTCTTCTTTAGGAGGTTTCTGGGTTAATTTTAAGATTTGAACCCTTTTTTTTAAAGTTATCTCGCTTCTTGCCTCATTTGTCTCATGTTTTAATTCAGAGATTGAGGGTTCACTATCAACTTGGGTTTTGTTTTGCACTCTTCAAAGGATATCATGAAAACTATAATCTTCTTTTGTCGGAACAAGAGAAGATTTTTCCTTTTCAGATGAAGTTTTGGACATGTTGATATATTGAACTAAGTCCCTTTTAGCCTCTGGATCCGTTATTTTGTCGATAAGATCTATAATCAGATCTGCTCCTTTTGTAAGAGTGATGGTACTTAACCCATTCATATCAATGACTGCCTTGTAAAAATTACATTGAAAATTTTCTTCTTTTGGATTATTTTCATCATCAGAATCTAAATCAGAACTACTAATGATATATCTCCATCATCATTGATTTCTCCAATTAACATTTCATTTTCTGAATTAGAAGAATCAGAAGTTTCTTCTTTTATTTGGAGGATCTCAAATAATTGGGTTTTAAGATTATTATCTGTTTCTAGAGAGTTAATTTTCTTTTTAACTCCACATTTATTTTTGTAATGTCCTACTTTGCCACATATATAACAAACAAGAATTTTTTTTTTTCCTTACCTGTAAAGGATAGTTTGTCTTGTAAAAATTTCCTGGAAAATTTCTCTTTTCTTTGAAGATTGTTTAAATATTTTCTTTCTGAAATTTTTATGCTTTTCTTTACAAAAAGGTTTTGAAGGGGGTAGGGTATTATAACCAAACTGTTCACAGAAATCTCCTAACTCCTTTCTCCCTGTTATTCTCTGTTTTTCCAATTGTCTCCGAAGCTTTAGGTCTGTACATAATGCTAGGCCTTCAGCACTGATTTTGGCTGATAGTTCTCCTAGGGTATACAGAGAATAAGGAATAATTCCACCATGCTTATTTTTAAGCCTTGTTTTTACCTTTTCTGCAAAAAGGTGTGGTAGTCTAGCTACAAACGTTTCTTTCCAATGGTCTGATTTACTATCCTCTCTTGATAGTAATATTGAGAAAAATACATCTTTATACCATTTATAATGAGAGAGTGTAGAACATCTTAGATTTGATAACAAATCTTCAGATATTGCTGCCAACAAAGCAGAACTTCCTACAAAATGGAGGGTGATTGTATATATTAGTGTATTGACTGCATCGCCTTCGATTATATTGTATTGGCAAGTTTTATTCTTGACTAGCTATTTTTTTGAGGCATTCAATATTTGATTTTTTTATTCTTCATCAATATGAAAATCCCACCAACCTCTTAACCATCCTATAAATCCACATATTATGGTCTTGGCTATCTTGTGGTCTTGATTTCCACTCGCCTTGCAGGCAGTGGCATACATAGTCGTGTTTCATAAGATCTAAGATTTGATTTTCAGCCCTGCTATCTATATTCCAGTTTACTATGGATTTCCCTGAATAGGAGACCGAGGTAGAAATTAGGTCTTTTTCCATTTGAAGATCTACTGGCGTTGGTCTAGGATAGCACATTCTGGTTTGGGATACTGGTCTAACTTTTATCCTATAATCAATTCTATTAGCTTTTAAGCTTTCTGTTTTAAAAGCTTTTTCTATATCAGAAATCTCTTGGTCAGGTTCCTTTTGTAGGACTTGAATATCTCCTTCCTAGGTTTTAGAAGACTGACCTTTCTCCCTTTCATTGATTTTAAAATTTTCCAATCTTTTAAACAATTCATCGACTGATTCCCTATTGTCTTCTTTTTTCTTTATTCCTACAATTTAAAATTTAACATGTTCATGATAAAACATAAGGCAAATGTCAAATTCTTTAAATGGTTAAAAGACATAGCTAAAGACTATGGAATAAAAATTCCAAAATTTGAAATAAATACGGTTGAAAAAACCTTTCAGACTTTTCAAGCCACGAAAGGAGAGACAATTGAGTCTATTCATCCCCCTGAGACTAGCTTACAACTTAAGGGAGAAAAGTTCGGAGAGAAAATTGAAGTTAAAGCCTCACCCTTTAAAAGAGGACCTAAAGAAGCTGACCATAATATGGCCAAGCTTGAAGGAATACCACATATTATTGAACAAAATAAGTATACAAATGTTTTCATCCAAGCAATAGGAAATCAATCTACAAGAATAGAAAATGCAGTTAATAATTTAAAACCAACTGCAAAAGATAAAAAAATTGATAAGAAAAAAGAGGTTGTTCTGTTTAAACCTCCTCCAACTATTAAGATAACAAAGTTTAGCATACAAGGAATAAAGAAAAGAGAAGACAATAGGGAATTAGTCGATGAATTGTTTAAAAGATTGGAAAAATTTAAAATCAATGAAAGGGAGAAAGGTCAGTCTTCTAAAACCAAAGAAGGAGATATTCAAGTCCTACAAAAGGAACCTGACCAAGAGATTTCTGATATAGAAAAAGCATTTAAAACAGAAAACTTAGAAGCTAATAGAATTGATTATGGGAGAAAAGTTAGACCAATATCCCAAACCAGAATGTACTATCTTAGACCAACCCCAGTAGATCTTCAAATGGAAAAAGACCTAATTTCTACCTCGGTCTCCTATTCAAGGAAATCCATAGTAAACTGGAATATAGACAGCAGGGCTGAAAATCAAATCTTAGATCCTATGAAACACATGACTATATATACCACTGCGTGCAAGGCGAGTGGAAATCAAGACCATGGGATAGCCAAGGCCATAATATGTGGATTTACAGGATGATTAAGAGGTTGGAGGGATTTTTAAATGGATGAAGAATCAACAAACACAAATATTGAATGCCTTCAAACAATGGCTAGTCAAGAATGAAACTGGCCAAGACAATATAATCCAAGAAAGAGATGCAGTCAATACACTAATATATACAATCACCCTCCATTTTGT